ATTTTAATGCTAGCACTTAAAAAGTTAAGATAGCAACTGTCAGGAGAGCAGGTTGTGTGTTTGGCAACTCATGAAGTGATGGAGTGTGTTGCAGGAGTCCATCCTGCAGAGTAGGCTGGGACATCAGATAGACTTTTTTTTCCTTAAAAGTGACTGAGGTTGTGACATAGTACAAGGAGAAATAAAGGGCATGAAAGGATGGATTCCACACAAGCAAGCACAGATTTGCACTTGCTTTTCCCCCCATCCCCCTTTAAGTAGTCATCCACTCAACCTCAAAAAACTTTTTTGTTTTTTATTTTGGTACCAGGGACTGAACCCAAGAGCGCTTAACCACTGAACCACATCCTCAGTCCTCCCACCCTTTTTAAAAAATATATATTTTTTAGTTGTAGATGGACACAATACCTTTATTTATTTATTTATTTTATGTGGTGCTGAGGATCGAACCTAGAGCCTCATACATGAAAGTCAAGCACTCCACCACTGAGTCACAATCCCAGTCCCTCAGTCCCTTTTTATTTTTATTTATTTATTTTTGAGACAGGGTCTCACTAAGTTGCTTAAGGTCTTGCTAAATTGCCAAAGCTGGCCTTGAACTTGCAATCCTCTTGCCTCAGCCTCCTGAGTTGCTGGGATTACAGGCATATATCACCACACCTGGCCTCAACAAACTTTTAAAAACAACACAGACACTAAGCAACTGTCCCTTGCCTTTCCATCTAATCCTACCTTCAATAATTTAACCAAACATTCAATAAGTAACATATGCTATTAGATCCTGGGGAGTCTAGTTTCTGTTACATAGCAAATGTAATATAGGTACAACTGTGGAAAGACTTTTATTCCTCTCCCCACCCCAACTTAAGAATATATCTTACCAGATTCTAGCAAGTTTTACATATTTTGTCCCATATGACTGCATCTGTTTTTGTTCCAAAAGGGCATTTACCAATCCAATTGTTTGGCATCAGATTTTTCAGGGAAGGCTGACTTATTTATTTGGTCAGAAAAGAAGTATTTCTTGAGTTTTTAAAATTTTTATAGAGAGTGAAAGTGAGAGTACAAAATGTGCAAGCTCCTTGTGTCCCTTTTCCAGCAGGAAGGAACCAAAAGAGGCCATATGATTGCATCATATAGAGTCACTGGAATATTCTGTTGCCAAGGGGCTCATGTCATGCTGCAGATAAGCAGTTTTATGGTTTGCAGTTTTACCTTTAATAGGGAGAGGTAGAAAGCCTCATTCCTCATCAAAGAAAACTCTCTCTTAACAGCCTCCATGATAGAGAGCTGAGTAAGAAATGGTTTTATAGCAGCTCTTCACAAAACCAACTATGTACCTGGTGCAGTGGCTATAATCCCAGCAACTTGGAAGGCTGAGGCAGAAGATTGCAAGTTTAAGGCTGGCCCCAGCAACTTAGCAAGAACCTGTCTCAAAATATAAACAGGGTTGGGAAGTGCCCTGGGCTCAATCCCCAATACTGCAAAAACAAACAGCAAAAATCAGCTCTGTGCTCTGAGTGTACTATAAGGTTTATATCAGCTGGTGTTAAATCCTGGTCCATTGTGGCACATGTAAATTGCCAGAGAGCCATGGTGTAGACATTCCCCTGAAGAAAGGACTATTAAGTTGTATTTTAATCAGCATTTTGCTGCTGTGTTTAAATGACCTGACCAGCATAACTGTAGAGAGGAGGAAAAGTTTACTAGAGAGCTCAAGGTCTTATTAGTCCATAGAAGGCCAGCTCCATTCCACGGGGCAGCAGGTGAGGCTAAACCTCTTGGTGGAAGAATGTGGCAGAGGGAATCAGCTCACATAGTGATCAAGAAGCAGACTCCACTTGCCAGATATAAATATATACAAATATATACACCAAAGTCATGCCTCAATTCCCACCTCCTCCAGCCACACCCTACCAACTTCAGTTATTACTCAGTTAATCTCTAGCAGGGGATTAAATCATTGATTGGGTTAAGACTCTTATAACCCAATCACTTCTCCTCTGAACTTTCTTGCATTGTCTTACACATGAGCTTTTGGGAGACACCTCATATCCAAACCATAACAAGTTGACAATAAAATGAGGACAGTCATGGAAAAAGTACCTTAGGTTAGGAAAGTGGAGTTTTCATGCTCTCCAAGGGAAGAGACTGCTTGTTCAACTTTTGATTCTTCATCAGCTGACCTAACACAAGCTGTAAAAGACATAACTTGCTTAGAAATATGGAAAATTTTTATTTCTGGAAATAGGAATGTGAACACTTTGGTCTTTAGCAGTAAGTGCCAGGCAATTTTTTGTTAATACAAAAGAACAAATAGAATTAGCCGATATTTAGAATCATTCATTCAACAAGATTCTGCTAGATGCTGAGGATACACTGGATAATGGATAATGATGAGTCAGTCATTTGTCTCTCAGCCTCATGCCAATCTTCTCTATCCTGAGGCTGTCAAACATCTTTCCCAGGACTGCCCAATGAAAAGAACTAGAAATCGAAAGTGGGGAACATGTTGAAAAGTTATCTTAGTTTTTATTTATTTTTCCTGAGGCACTGGGGATTGAAACCAGGGCTTTGTATGCTAGGAAAGAGCTTTACTACTGAATTATATCCTGGGACATTGGTCCTTTTCAGCCTTCATATTCAAACTGAAACAGTTTTCAGACTGGAACTCACACCACTGGCTTATTCACCTGGGTCTCCAATTTGTTACAATAAACATACACAATTAGATATACACATACATGTATTCTATTTCTCTGTAGATCCTTATATATATCTAGGAAGTCTGGAAATCATGCAATGCATTTTTTCCCCCTGATACTGGCAATCAGAACCAAGGGTACTTTATCACTGAGCTACATCTCTACCCTTTTTCATTTTTTTGAGACAGGTCTTCTAAAGTGCCCAGGCTGGCCTTGAACTTATGATCTTTCTACCTCAGACTCCTGAGCTACTGGGATTACACACTTGCAACACCACACCCATCTCATACAATGCATTTTTACTGTTTTAATAAGTTACTCATTGGGCTGGGGATATAGCTTATTGGTAGAGTATATGCCTAGTAAACACTGGGTTCAATCTCCAGTACCACACTCCCCTCCACCCAAAAAGATCAAACAAAGTTAATATGGTTTATTTCTGTAATACAAATCATTTACATTAGGTCTTATTAGATTTGTGTCTGTTAGATCCCTGAAAACCCTGAAGTACCAAGTCTTAGAAACTGACATAAAAACAGAGACCTGGATGGATCTGCAAAGGATTTTGGATAATGACTCAATTCCTAATGAACAAAATACACTTAGAAGAAGAGAATGTATCACAATGCCCAAATCTTAATTGCAAAAGATGATTAGAAAACCTTGCAGTATCTGAAGAATTCCAGAATCTTAGACTGATATAGAGATTGTTGGTGCCAGAATCCAAGTGAGAAATGTAAATAAATGCAGTAATGAATGCATGTTTCTATAATAAATGATGCACTAGCAAAATAATTGCAAGACTCCAGTCATCTGGAAATACTTTTGTAGAAACAACTCCATTTAAAATATACCTGGTAAATACCACTATAGAGCTGACTAAAAAAGTTTTCTCATTTAAATTCACAATACTGAAACCTTGACCATCATGAGAAGAAAAAGGAATGTTCTATAAGGTGTGTTTAAGGAAAAAGCAGATAACCTGATCAAGTAGATAACTTACGGTTAAAGTTCTCATCATAAATAATTAAGGAGCTGCTACTATGCAGTTGGGAATAAATATATAAGACCAAGCCTGTTGCACACTGATATTGGAGTTCTGAAACCATAAGTGATGAATGTTTTAAATATCTGGTGCAAATCCACTGACCTGGAGGAAATGCCTCAGGAGGGATAAGTTTTCTGCAATTTATTGTACAGTATGTGTTGGAAGGGAGAGGAGGCAGTATAGGGGATCTTGATTTAGGCCCAAGATAAACAATTGACAAAATCTAAGAAGCTAAGCCTTAAAAAATTTATCATTTTTAGCCAAGCGTGGTAGTGCATGCCTGTAATCCCAGCATCTCAGGAGGCTAAGGCAGGAAGATCACAAGTTCAAAGCCAGCCTCAGCAAAGGTTAAGTGCCAAGTAACTCAGTGAGACCCTGTCTCTAAATAAAATACCAAAAAAGGGCTGGGGATGTGGCTCAGTGGTGGAGTGCCCCTGAGTTCAATTTCTAGTACCCAAAAGAAAAAAAATTATCATTTTATTCTGACCTTATAACTAGATTTTCACACTACCTGAACAGAAAAGTTTTCTCCCACAAGAGTAGCAAAATTAACATCAGAGAAAAATTAAAGAATAAAATTTCACAGATGGCAAATATTCACAATGATTCAACAATAAGCCATTTAAGGCATTCTTACCTAGTCAGGTAAAGAAATGTAAATTCTATCATGGTAATCCCATCTTTATCCCTGCTCCGCCAATTCTATGTACTTGGCAGAAAATGTACTATATTGACTCAGAATCAATTCTTTAGATACAATCACAAAATGGCCTTAGTGTGAAGCTCCATAGAAATCTAGACAATATCAGATTTCAGAGCTATGTAGGTAATCTCACTGGTGCATTTAATAAATGTTTATTAGCACCTGTGTACAAGGCTCAGAGAAGGATGTAAGATCTCACAATCTGACCAAGCATCAAAGATTCATTATAGTAAAAAAGTATTGGTCAGGGAAGCAAGCCCCCAGAACACAAACATGCACACCCCCCCCCCCCCAAAAAAAAATAGACATCATAAAGTGCTTGCTGAGAGCAATTAACCAGTTTGGAAATCAATTTAATTCCAAACAACTCTCCCATAGCTTCCTATAAATAAGTTTCGTTCCAATAACCTTGTTAGAAAAAACTAAGTGGAATGTAGAAGATAATGTATCTCAGCCAGATTATATTTTCTAATACTTGATGATGTACTGGTAAATAAAACCCCAGCCTCAAACTTCTGTAACCAGTAAGGGCTCCAGGCTGGCTTCAGTTTAATGACAAATGAACTCCAACTTTAGTATGTACAGCACCGGTCACTAAGACAGAATTTTTTTTTCCTACATGGCTTCTTTGATGTTGAACAAGGTATGAAGTTCGGGTGAAGCCTTTTCCACATGTATCACACTGATAGGGTTTCTCCCCAGTATGAATTTTTTGATGTTCAATAAGGCCTGTATTCTGAGTAAAACTTCTTTCACATTCATTACACTTATAAGACACAGGAGTTCCAACATTTTCCCACTGGCTTTCCATTCTACCTTGACCTTCCCAGTCAGGTTCCTGAATATTTCTTTCCCCAGTGTGGATCCTCTGATGTCTCAGGAGATGAGAACTCCGCCTAAAGGCCTTGCCACACATGTTGCACTGGTATGGCTTCTCCCCGGTATGAATTCTGTGATGTTCAAGGAGGCTGCAGCTCTGGCTGAAGGTTTTTCCACAGTCATCACACTCATAGGGCTTCTCCCCAGTGTGAGTTCTCTGGTGTTTGATTAGGTCTGAGCTGTGACTAAAGGCCTTGCCACATTTTTCACACTCATATGGCTTCTCACCAGTGTGAACTCTCTGATGAATGACAAGGGCAGAGCTTCCAACAAAGGCTTTGCCACACTCCTCACATTCATAGGGCTTCTCTCCAGTGTGGATTCTTCTGTGCTTACTCAGGCCTGAACTTTGAGCAAAACTTTTTCCACATTCATGGCAAATGTGTCGCCTACTCCCTGTGGCATTTTTCTGCTTTCTGTGTAATCTGGCCTCCTGTTCACTAGCTTTTGCATACATAGGCATTTGGGCAACATCTTCACCCTGGTGGCATGGTATCTTCCCAGGATCTTGTTCTGGATGTTCCTCAGCTAGAGGCAAATCTCCAATCTTAGTCTGCATTTCACCAGCTGAAACAACAAAGGCCAACAACTGTCAATTGTGCTGTGCCATGGGAAGAAAGCTCTGTGATGAGTACCAGGAAACTAGCATTACAGAGGTCTATATGTGCCAAGGAAGAAGACTTAAGTGCAGGAATAAGGATAGAAATAAAGAGTGCTAGGGAGGGAGACCTGAGAATGAGAATGGGGCATTGGAAGATGGGTACAATTGGGAATGAAATGAGTGAAGAAAAGGTGGCCCAAGGACTGTGCCGCGGATACATGGGTTAGGGATGGTCTCTAAGCAGTAAGAATGGTAAGGGCAAGGCTATACATCTATTTTTTTTTTTTTTTTTGTGGTGCTGGGGATTGAACCCAGGACCTTGTGCATGTGAGGCAGGCACTCTACAAACTGAGCTATATCCCTAGCCCAGGGCTATACATCTAGAATTAGATACTGAAAAAACTAAGTGGATGTAACTCCATGATAGAGAACTTGCCTAGCATGTGTGAGGCACTGGGTTCAATCCTCAGCATCACATAAAAATAAATAAATAAAGGTACTGGGTTCACCTACAACTAAAAACATTAAAAAAAATAAAAAGCTGAGTGGAAGGCGACAATGAACAGGGTAAATGAAAGGATTTCTGAAGTGTTGAAATATCCAAAGTGGAGACTCATTAATTGGGCACTGACCAAAGACAAGGGCAGTTATCTTGGAATGTGCCCTAGGTAGAGATACAATTCCCAAATAGAACAGGCATCAGCACCAGGATATCTAAGTTGAAGCCCCAACTTGTCAGCTATAGACCTCTGACAGGTCAGATAACCCTTCAGGATCTGAAGTCAACATCTAAGGTAGCTTCTAACTCTCATGCTCTATGACTCATGGCCCATTTCCTGAAAAGTCTCTGCCCTCTTAGTTAGGGATAGGAACAGGAAGGGAAGGAAAAGAAATCACCCTCCCCCTCACTGCTGGGGATCAAACCCATGACCTCATGCATGCTAGGCAAACATTCTATATTTGAGCTATACCACCAGTCACATTTGTTGGCATCTCCTATGAACCAGAATTGTAGTAGAGATTCTAGCCCCTTAAACCACTGACAAGGCAATAAAGAAGGTAAGTTAAGAAGGAATTAATAAGGGGCTGGGGTTGTGGCCCAGTGGTAGAGTACTTGCCTAGCATGTATAAGGCACTGGGTTCAATTCTCAATACCACATAAAAATAAACAAATAAAATAAAGATACTGTGTCCACCTACACCTAAAAAAAATTTTTAAAATCATATATATATATATATATATACACACACACACACACACACACACACACACATATATACATACATACGTATACACACACACACACACATAAAGGATTAATGAGTTAAGTGTAGTAACAGGGTTTCAAAATGGTGGTTTTGAATCCAAACATAATGGGATCAATAGCTTCTACCAACCTAACAGAATTACAGGTTTTCTGATAAACAAAAGATGCCAAGGAACCTTGGGAGAAGTTAGTCTTACCCAGGGAGATCAGGCTGTCACAGTTTTCCTGCCTTTCATCTCTGTAGAGATTCACCTGAGATGAATCCACCTGTGTCCACTCAGGGGTCAGAGTCAAGTCCACATCTTCTGTTTTCAGCATCCCCTATAGCAACAGAAGTGATTGACCAAACGCAGTAGGGAACATCTAGGAAGCATAGACAACTCCCCAAGTCACTAATTCATATCCCACCTAGGATATGAGTGGAGCATTTAGGGTCAGGACATTAGTGGGGTACATAGGGAGGGAATGCCCTAGGAAGTACAACAATAGTAAAAGGGATTGGGGGAAGATGAGGGGCTCTTGCTCACCCGGGACTCTAGAGTGAGCCTGGCAGCTAACACGGTGTCTTCTCTGCAGCTGTCTCCCTGGGCAACTAAGAAGGAAAGACACTCTGGATTAGATCTACCTTGGCAGTCAGACTTTCTGCCTTGTGGAATCCAAGTTCAAAACCTGGGTTAATAAATTTCTGCCAAACAAGTTTATACAGAGCATATACTTTTCCAAAGTGCCTGATCCCAACAGCTCCAATTCTAGGGCTAAAGACATCTGGTGTGCTCTGTAGACATTTAAAAAAAGCATGCAAAAATTCAGGACCCTTGTAAGGAATAGCAAAATGAAAGGAACAACACCCCCCCACACACACCAAACACACATACACAAGCTTTCCATTGGAGGATCCTTTGAATTTTGTTAGGGAGGGGGGAAACAATGGGATTTTTGATTAGTAGCTGTGAGAGTGAATTCTGCTTTGGTTTTGAAAAACTAAGAGGAGTCAAATAAGGTTGGACCCAGAAAAGCAGAAATGGCACTCTGGTTCAAGAGACAGAACATGAAAAAGAACTTCAGGTTTCCTTATAGGAGGCAAACAGTAAAATGGGGGAAAACAGTTGGTTTAGGCTAGAACCTCTGTTGAGAAATAAAGATTGCACATTGTCTGATGTGTCCCAGTGTTGTGTGTCACAAGAACCTACACACGTTCAGGGAACTTGAGAGAACACCAGAGAGCATATATTTGTTTCCTCTGGAGTAAATTTCATGTTTTTTTTTTTTTTAAATAACAGACCCAGGGTTTAGAAAATTTAGAGCTTTTAATTTGTAATAGTCTTAAAACTGGGATATTTTGGCTGGCACTATAGATTTCTGTTTATTTTCTTCACAGGTCTTACTACTAAATTGTTTTATTAATTGTATATTTGCCATATTCTACAATAGAATGGAAACTCCATTGGCGCAATGTTTGTCTCACTGATGGCTATATCCCCAGTGCCAACAACATTGGCTACAACATAAGAGTCCTCTGTAATTCACATGTTAAATGTATTTAGAGAAAATTCTTTCCATACCCAAATTTTAGTAACATCTTATTCATGATGCTGAGACTTGGAAAGATTTCCACAATTGTGTTTGCAATTTCCCTTTTAGTCTTAGTTTCAAAATAGGATTGATCAATGACGAACAGGTAAATGGATCTTCTAGGTGAATCTTCAGTGAAACTGGATGAGATCTGTAGAATTCATACAGGTCAGAAGATAATACTCACCTCTATCTTGTAAGGGCTGGCATTGCAAAGATTCACACTTGAGCAGAGCCTTCACTGGTGGGACTTGGCTATTTTGTGACTCTAGGGTTGGTGTCAACAGTGCCACCTTGCAACGGAGCAATTCTTGCCCCTGGTCATCACCTGGGACCTAGAAGTCATTCATTTGTTTTTATTTTCATTTATTCATCAAATACTTCTATAGCACTTTTTATAAGCCTGGCACTGTATATAAAAGTACTATAAAATAACAACATGAATAGCTACCTTAAAAGGTACATACTATTATTTATCCTCATTTTTACTTATGAGGAAACTGAGACAGGTTAGCCCATGGTCACTTGGCTAATAAGTGACTAATAAGTGCTAAGATGAGAGTTCAGGCAGAATGGCACCAGAGTCATGTTCTTAAATCTATGTCCCTTCATTATATACATTTGTGCGTTTATCAAATGTATATAAGCACTTTGGAAACTGGTGAGACATTCTAAAAAAACAAACAAACTATTATCTGAAAAATGAGGATAATAATTTTTAGCTTGAAGAATTTTTGGAACAAGTAAGTAAGTTTACAGTATGTGAAATCAACCAACACAGGATCTGGCTGGCTAGTTTCTGGGCTGGGGTCGTGGTTCAGTGCTAGAGCAACTGCCTATCAGGCGTGAAGCACTGGGTTTGATTCTTAGCACTGCATAAAAATAAATAAAGTAAAAGGTATTGTGTTCATCTACAACTAAAAAAAAATTTTTAAATTATATTTTCTAAGTCACTCTCTTTGTATAACTCAGAAATTCCCACATCCTTTATAAATAAGTTAAGAGACTTGAAATGACTTTCTGTTATAGAGCTCAGTGCAATAGATCCAAGTCAAGAACTTTGGTCTCCTAGTCACTGGTTAAAAGGCTCTGGCCAAATGTTCTCTGAGGGAATGTGTACAAGGGCTCGGATAATGCAAAAATGAAACAGCCTCATAAAACAAGCCAGAAGATGGAGGTAAGAACCCATTTTCTACCAGAGGTTCAAAAGCAAAGGTCTATGGATTCCATACCAAATGGTCTATGAATTTGGACAGGAAAAAAATTAATCTTATTTTTTTTTTTTTTACGAATCTCTAAGAAAAATGTAGTATTTACTTGAATTGTGAATGAAAGCAACAAACCAATGTGGTATAAGTAGTTGCAAGATTGTCCTCAACAGAAATTGCAGATTTTTCCCAGCAGAAAAATCTTCAAGCCCCGTCCTTAGATCTTATTAACTTAGTGCATTAATTTTTTTAAAAAGGCATATATACAGCTTCATCACAAATTTAATACTTTGCTAAATGTTTATCAATACAATGGAGTTGTTTTGTAATCCTTTATATTTTCCTTTATGTATTTAAAAATATTCTGAGAAGGGGTCCAGAATATTGCTAAACTGGTTCACAGTACAAAAAGTGATAGAACTCTTGATCTTAAAGGAATGCCCCTCACTCTGATCTTCAGGAAGGAACAGACCACAGCTCTCAGATAATAAACCTGTTCTTTCTACCTGCAGTGTGGGCTCATCCAGCTGCTTTTCCAAATACTCCAACAGTACCACCACCTCCTCCCCACTCTCTGGATGCTGCTTCCGCACCCAGTTCTGCAGTTCCCTGGGCAGGATGGTCAGGAACTGCTCCAGCACCAGTAGCTCCAGGATTTGCTCTTTGCTGTGCATCTCAGGCCTCAGCCACTGTCGGCAGAGCTCTCGGAGCTGGCTCAGCACCTCTTTGGGTCCTGCTGTCTCAGGGTAGCAGAAAGCACGAAAGCGCTGGCGGCAGTGTTCCTTGCCCTGGTCGGGGCTGCAGGGCAAACTGGCTTCCTCTGCAAAGGCAGAGGCCTCTTCCTCCTTCACCTTTATGACCAGAAGCCCCATCTGGTCGTCTGCAGAGTGGTCATCCAGGGCTGTGCTTTCCCTCGACTCTCTAGCCATTCTTAGCCAAGGCAATATCGGCCTCACTGTAGCTGCAAGCTGTACTTTTGGAAATTCCTGTAAGGTGAAAATCTTTATTAGTTACTCAATTTGCTAAGAGTGCCCTCCTCTCATGCTCAGGTTCCTGGGGATGTTGCCTAGGAGCAGTTGCAGAGATTTCTCCCCCAGGTTCAAGTGCCTCTGCAGCTACATCCTCTGAACCACTCCAAACCTGAACCCCACATTAAGATCCTCAAAGGATGTCCTGGGAGTGGATGTGGACACCCTCCAAGGCACTCACTAATCCAGATATAAACTGATGCTGGAGCAACCAACTTTCAGCAAAGAGCAGGCTACTTTGGACTCTTGGAAGCTTCTCTCAGTGATTAGCTCAGAATGATCCCATTAGCAACCAGGTCTGTAGTTGACTGAATTTTAAGATGACCCTAAGGATTAGCTGTTCTAATTCCCAGGACTTTGAGTATGATGAGATATCATCTCAGATTTACCAGACTAATCAGGAGGAACTTAATTCTACCAATAACCTTAATGAGCTTTTAAGTGGCCTCTAAATAAGAGCTCAGCTCTACCAACATCTTGACTTTGGAAGACCCTAAACAGACAACTCAGTTGAGCCTCCCTGGCCTTCTGACCTCAGAACTGGGAATAATAAGTTTTAAGTTATAAATATCTGGCAAATTGCTATGTAGCAATAGGAAATAAATACTAGGTCCCTGTGGTCAAGGTGCTACATTTAGGAGGAGAAAGAAAAGATGGCAGGCTCTGTGGCAAAAGAAATAGAACTGAATTTTTTTCTCTGATTGTGAGGCTCGTCCAAACAACTGGTAGAAAATTAACTTACATTCAAATGAGAAAGTTGAATTTCCCCAGACCATGGGCACAGTGGCATACACCTGTAATTTCAGTGGCTCAGGAAGCTGAGGCAGGAGGATCTCAAGTTCAAAGCCAGCCTCAGCAACTTAGCAAGGCCCTAAGAAACTCAGTGAAATCCTGTTTCTAAATATAATATAAAAAGGGCTGGGGATGTGGTTCAGTGGTAAAGTGCCCCTGGGTTCATCTTCGTGAAAAAAAAAAAAAAATTCCCCCAGACTTCTTTGAACTTTGCACTGGAGGATCTTCTGTTTCTCTAAGAAATATCAAAGAATATCACCAAGCTTTTGCTCTGAACATAGCAGTGGCTGCCCCGATCCTTGCCACTCCTTTAATCTGCCACTCTTTACTCCCCTTCAAGTCCAAACTTCTTAAAAGAAAGGCTTCCAGACTTGGACTCTGTTCCTAAGCTCCCACTTAGCCTTCAACACACTGTACAGAGCAAACCAGGAAGAAAGCCATTAAAATTTCTCCTGCAGAAGTAACCAGGGATACTTCCTTCTGTTTCCATTTTTCATGGCTTTTTCTAAATCAACAAGGCTGATGCTGGTGTCTACTTCCAGAAACTCACTTTCCCTGGATTCAGGGACCTGAATTCTGTTCTGCTTTCATCCTTCCTGTCTCTTCCCAGCATTCTATCACAGTCTGGTTAGATGCACACTTTCAAGCCACGTTTCCTGAGTTCATAACCTGATTTGACCACCTACTAGTTAGGTGATCTTAGTAAACTACACATTTCTGTGTCTCACTTTCATTTTTAAGATATAGTAATAACAGACAAGGATTCTATGAACATCAAGTTTTTGAATAGTTTTTAGAACAGTGCCTAGTGTGTGCTGAGTACTATATTAATGTCAGCTAATGGTATAATTCGATGGCTTTTCTCCTTTTAATTGAATGTGCTTTGGGTATTCTGTTCTTGACCTTTCTTTTCTCTTTCCACATTCTTGAATTACTTGTAGGATATTAACTCATATTTCTTAAGCTATTGATTTAATTTTTAAGTTAAAGAGTCTTGATATAAACAGGGTGTGGTGGCACATGCCTATAATCCCAGCTACTCAGGAGGCCAAGGCAAAAGCCAGTCTTGGCAATTTAGTGAGACCTTGTCTCAAAATAAATATATTTTTAAAAAGGAGCTGAAGGTCTAGCTCAGTAGTAGAGCTCTTTACCAGAATATAACCTAGGTTCAGTCACCTAGTTACCCCCCCTTCCTCCACAAATCTTGATTTCTACCTTGAGCTGCCTCCCAGACACTTCTACCTGGAAATTTTGCAAACAAACACAACTCGGTATGCCCTGACCCAGGCTGATTTTCTTGCTGCCTCATCTATTCTTTCTCCAGTTAAATATTCCCTAGTACAGCAGCAACTAGTCACTAGGCTTCTTTAGAATTATTTGATTACCTCTAGTTGCTACAAGGATCACTTGTTCCAATCTATTCTACCCCTAGAATGTCTCTCAATCTATTCTCCCTGCTATCAGCATGGCTCAGGTCCTCATTTTTGTCTCTAGCCTAATTAAGTACTTTTAACCCACCCAGCTTCCTACATCTTTCAGGCTGCCACCAGAGAGTGCTCTCTAAAATACCTAACCAAGGCCTTCTCCTGCCTAAAATCACTAATGTTTTAATTCCAGATAAGCACCTATTTCTGATCACAACCAACTGGCGATCCTCTCTCCATAAATGAACTAAGAGACTATCTTGAATGGTCGGTCATGTAGGTGTCATTGTTCAGACCACTCAGCCAAAGGGGCCAGTGGGAGCTCAGATAGGGCTCAGACACTCGTGTCTTCCAGACTATGTACATTCAACAGAGGAATCTGTTTTTTAAAAAGGCATAAAGATACCCTGAATTTGCAAGAGCTCAGCAGCTACCCTACCAAACTTAACTATGCTCTTAATAAGTATTTTCCTACATGCTGCCATGTATCTTCAGAGTAAACAGCACTCAAGCCCAGAAGTCCAACTTACATGTCCCCTCCTTTCTGGACTCTTTTTCAACCCCCTTAAGTAAAATAAACTGCCTTCTTCCACAACACTTCCTTTCTCCTTTGCAAAATAAATTAAGAGAGCTTGTCCCTGGGACATTACAACACACAAACCAAACCACTTTGAGTTTTCGCTTTGGGATAGAATATTCAGAGTATCTTATTTTTTCTTTCCTAAAATACAGAAATCATCCATTACAAAGAGAACTGGTAAATGACACCAAAATTCAAAAAAGAAAGAAAAAACAGTAACAAAAGCCAGTCATTAACACTACTCACTGAAGACAATGTGCTGTTGTCATTAGAAATAACAAATAACAGCAGCCAATCTTTACATTGTGGTTACTCTGTACCTGGTACTTTAAAAAGCATCCTACCCATATTAGATCACTTCATCTTCACATTGACCCAGTGAGTTAGGTGATATCAATCCCCATTTTATGAAGCAGTAAAATAAGGTACAGAGAGGTTAAGGGACTGGTCCCAAATCACACAGCTAATAAGTGGTAGGGGTGGGATCCAACCAGGCAATACAACTCCAAAGTCCTGACTCACATAGTAACTTAAAGAACTGACCTTGTCTCCAGGACGAGTAAAAATTTAAGGGTTCCCGTTTTTCAATGCTTGTGTTGTCTGTGTGACCCACGAATCCTATTTCCAGACACCCTAAGGGACCACCCAGACACCCGGAAAAGGCACTGGATAAGGGAATCACAAAGCGCCTGGCGTAGGCACTCCCGACACCAGTTCTTACGGCCAAGGAGCACCCTCCCCGCCCCCGCCAAGGCCTCCCCCAGGGTCTCCCTCTCCGCAGACTGCAAAGGCACTGCCAGGAAAGGACTCCTCTGTGCCTACTCGGGGACAAAAGAAGGGCAGGACTGGCAGGACAGCCACGGGTGAACTAAACCCACACAAGAAAGTGGGCGCCATATGGACGCCTCCCTTTCACCCCCATACTCACAAAAGTGTCCGAAACTAGCAAACCACCCGCAGGGCGGGCACAGAGGCCACTTCCGGGCCTCTCTAGCCACCTCCCGGACTGACACTCAGTCGTTTGCTGGCTCCCCTCCTCTTCGCCGCCCCTCTCTTCTCTTCTTGCTGTTAAAGAGACTTCAAAACATTTTCCGTCGATAACAAAGGAAAAAAATCACGCGCCGAACTCTGTATACAGTTTGCCACGTTTGGGAATAGAAGGGAGTAAAAAGAATTTAAATTATATTTGCTTTTATGGTCACAAAAAAAGCGTAAGAAAATTAATAATAGTGGTTACCTGTGAGAGGTGAAAGCTAGAAACTGTGAAAAGGGGAAAGGGTGTGAGGAAGAGTGTTACCATACCTTTATTAAATGTATTTTTAAGAGCTGTTTGCATTAATTAAAATATTAATTAAAAATACATAACAGTTTTAAGGAGCATGCCAAATGGTTTGCCTAGAAAATTCAAGGTAATCTAGCACTTAAATTATGGGGATTAATAAAAGGGTTTGGCAAAAGTTAAATTTTTAAAATATCGACATTCATAATTGCATTTCCCATCACCAGCACAAGTTAGGAAAAGTGATTTTTAAAAGACAACAATTACAGAAGCAAAGAAATAAAAAAAAATGCTTTAATGGAAACATTATAAAGCTTTATTTATTAAGGATAAATAATTGAGATACATACCATATCTATGTATATGCGAACTAAATATATGACAATGTCATTTCTTCCTAAAATAATACATAAATTCAATGCAAAGCCAATAAAAATCCCAATAGTGTGTTCTGTGGAACTTGGCCTATTTTAAATTTCTATGGAATAATGAGAGAGTGAAGAAGATCAAAGAAATTTTTTTTTTCAGTGAATGAAGGAGGTGCAGAAACTGTCTCTACTGGATATGTTAAGATTTTGGGGTGTGGGGAGCTGTACCAGGAATTGAACTCAGGGGCATTAGGCCACTGAGCCACATCCCCAGCCCTATTTTGTATTTGATTTAGAGACAGGGTCTCACTGAGTTGCTTAGCATCTCACTTTTGCTGAGGCTGGCTTTGATCCTCCTGCCTCAGCCTCTCTAGCCCCCTTTGCCGGGCCCATGTAAAGATTTATTGTAAATGTATAACAGTTAAAACAGTGTAGCAGCACAACGATAGTAACTAGAT